TCAAGAGTTTAACCCATTTATTATTCCTTTTGTATGTGTCTGTCTGAGTGTATGTGCGTATGTGTAGGACAGTGCCCATGGACGCCAGCAGAGGGCATCAGATCCCCAGGACTGAAGTTATAGGCCGTGGTGAACAGCCATCTAGGAACCAAATTCAGGTGATCTGCCAGACTGGTACTCGCTCTTAACTGCTAAGTCATTTCTACAGCCCCGATTATTCTTCCTTCGAAGTACTTAGGATCAAACCCAGGGCCTCAAGAATGCTAGGCAAATGCTCTACCACTAAGGCCCATTTTTCAACCCTGAATCATGTAATCTCTACCCTCTCATCACTTCTTGGTCTAGCTCCCTTCCTTGCCTAGAACTGGACCTTTCACAGACCCCCTTTCCCTGCCATCAGTTTGTCCCCAACATGTTTGCGGCACACATGACTTTCCTGAATCTAGTAGTCTAGCTGTTATCAATAGTTTCCTTTACCACTCTACTTTCTTTTCTTGTTTTATTTTTTGAGACAGGGTTTCTCTGTGTAACAGTCCTAGCTGTCCTGGAACTCACTCTGTAGACCAGGCTGGCCTTGAACTCACAGAGATCCGCTGCCTCTGCCTCCCAAGTGCTAGGATTAAAGGCGTGCTCCAGCACCCAGCACCACTTTATTTTCTTTTGGACAACTGCCTATCACATTCAAAGTTATCTGTTTTGTTTTGGTTTTGGTTTGTTCTGGTGCTGAGAATCCATGCAGGGTGTACACTAAGAACAGTCTCTTATCAGGTTACACCCTCCTTTAGCCAGAAGCTTCCTTTTATACTCAATATCCTTCACCTATTGTCAATGTTTCATGGTAAGGTCTCAGCAGCCTGGCCTGGCTTCAAACATGTGTTCCTGAATGACCCTCAACCCCATCCTCTTGCCTCCACCTTGAGTGTTGGGATTACAGTGTGTGTCACGACGCCTGTCTTGATGTCCTTTTTACCTCTGCTTCCATCCAGGTCTAACCAACTTATAAACAAAATAAAACTTGAATGTAAATTACCTTAAATATTTTTCAAAATTTTGTTAATTAAGCAGAATGAATGAAAATTCTAGACAGTACCATTTTTTATTTTTATTACTAGCAATTTAAATGTTAAATGTCATGCTACTCATTAAAAGAAGACACAAACTGGTTCAGCTTAGTTTGCTGGAGATCAGTCTAAAGAGATGTTAGCTATTTCCAACAAATGAGAAAACAAACAAAACAAAACAAAAAACCAAAACATCCTGAGTAAACAGGCATAAACGAAGAAATCAAAATATTTTTCAGTTCTTCCAAACTATTTTTCAGATCCTTATGTGGTTTCACTCATTTATTTAAAATCTGATATATTCCAAAACTATACATACCAATACTCTGAAGACTCAATTGTATTGCAATAAGTCACAGAAATTTTTGGGTACTACTCACTATTCTTGTGAAGGACAACCGACCTGATGTACTAAATACCCATGTTTATACTTCTGAGGGGAATATAGAGGAACAGAGAGCCTTGCCTCGGGAGCTGAAACCCCTCTACTCAGACAGTATGTGTTCTCCTTCTCCACACTGGCATGTGTCTGGTTGCCCACCTTGTATTCCTGGGTAGCATCATCCAGCGGCACTACGGTATGGGCCCGGTGGGTATGGGAAATTGCACATATCAAACAGACAGCCTCCTGGTCTTCGTAGCAGAAGAGGCTGAGGGCCTCATGGTGTTGGGAGCAGAGGCTCTCATCCCTGATCTTCCGCTTGACTGTCTGGAGCTGCTTGGCGATTTCCACCATACTGCCTAGTTGTCGGTTCGGCCGGAGACTTCGGTACCGCGATGTCTTCCGACAGACAGGGCAGGGGAAGTCCCGCTCCAGGTCCTCCCACCAGCGGGTAATGCACGCCTTGCAGAAGTTGTGCCCACATTCAATGATAACTGGTTCCTTTAGATACTCCAGGCACACAGAGCAACTCGCCTCCACCTGCAGGTTCTCCAGAGCAGCAGCCGTGGAGGCTGCAGAGGCTCCAGCCTCCAGCAGACTCGTCTCTGCCATTATTTAACCTGGAGATAGGGAGAGAGGAAAGAAGAACATTAGTGGAGGATTACTTTTTTATCTTATCTATCACTCCTATCCTGACATCAGCCCCCATTAAGCTATGACTCTAGATTTAGCCCTATCTTGGTATTTCCCGTCTCTTTCAGTGGATTCACCTGTTGCTCCATTTACATCATCCTCACATCTAGCCAATACACTTTTTTCCGATTCAGCAAACAAAAGCAATCCCTAGTGTCTCTTTCACTCTTTTCTCATTACAAACAGAAGCTTCCTTTAACTCTAATTTGACATACTTTTCTAATAGATGAAAAGGCCCCTGGTATGGTGGCTCAAACCCAGAACCCAGCATTTCTGAGATCAAGGCAGGGGATCATCATCAGCTGGAGGCCAACCTGGGCTATGTAGTGAGTTCCAGGAGGAACTCATTATTACTATTATTTTTTTAAAAAGAACTTTATATATAAGCACTGCATCTACATAAAAAGCGACTTACAACACATAGAAGTTTTGGTATTATTATTAGGGCTTAACCTTGATTGTCTGCTACTCCTCTTTTTAAAAGGGTAACACATTGAGTGAATTACACCACAGCAACAAACTCTTTCCAGGGAGTGTGAAATCATTCTTCCTTCCCCTGGACTAGCCGAAAGGAAGACAGCTCTCTTCTAGATGTTTCTCTCATCTCATTTCTATTTGTGTGATGCTGGAATGGCTGCTCCGCAGCAAACACATTTCAACTCTAAGCGACTACTGTTGGGCAGAGGGCAGTAACTCCTTGAAGACAGCTGGCAAGTCCACTCTAAACATTCAGCGGTGAATTCAGTCTTTCAAAGTCGCTACTGATAACTAATTCCTCAGATATTCAGTGCACTGACTAGGGATTAAAAGGAAATTTGCCAGGTATGGTGGCACATGCGTATAATCCCAGTACCAGGGAGGTGAGGGCAAGAGCGTCAGGGGTTCAAGGCCAGCCTCAGTTATGCAGCAAGCTTGAGGCCAACCTGGATTAAATATGACCACCTTGTCTCAACGAACAAATGAGTAAATGGAAAGAGGCAAGCAATCAAAGCTCTTTAGATACAGCCTCAGGCTTGCAAATACACCAGAGAGATACAGAACACAAGGCTGGTCCCCACTTCATCCTTAAATAGTCAATACATAAGTCAACTTCTCTGGTCCCTATAACCCCACTTCCGTTTTGCCCCGGAAAGGGACCAGAACAAAGGACGGAAATCTGGTAGGCCTGCACACTGACAGAAAAGTGGGCATGTAATGAACCGGGGTGGCAGTGGTTATTACTGTATACTGGTGGCACAATGGAAAAGTTCTGAGAAGTGGCTAACCTATCTCCTGAAAAGGGAGAGAAGAAACTCAGATCCAGGCGAGTTTGGCTGGATGATCTCTTCTCTACTCTTTAGAATCCAATTTGGACTAGTGACTCTGCCCCCTCCCCAATCTTACCGACATTAGATAGCATCCTCATCTAAATGAATTGAATTATATGCACACTTAAGAGGCCAGGATGAGGCCGGGCGGTGGTGGCGCACGCCTTTAATCCCAGCACTCGGGAGGCAGAGGCAGGTGGATCTCTGTGAGTTCGAGGCCAGCCTGGTCTACAGAGCGAGATCCAGGAAAGGCGCAAAGCTACACAGAGAAACGCTGTCTCGAAAAATCAAAAAAAAAAAAAAAAAAGAGGCCAGGATGTATCTAAGTGGCAAGAAAGAGAAATGGAGCTGGGCGGTGGTGGCGCACGCCTTTAATCCCAGAACAAGGGAGGCAGAGGCACAGTGGATCTTTGTGAGTTCAAGGCCAGCCTGGTCTACAGAGCAAGATCCAGGAAAAGGCGCAAAGCTACAGAGAAACCCTGTCTCAAAAAACAAAAAAAAAAAAAACAAAACAAAACAAAAAGAGAACGGGGCTCAGGGTTAGTGAAGAATGGAGAGGATCTGGAGCTGCTGCTGATGCAGAGGGCAGACAGAGTGTGGCCTTGTGCTCCTCTGGCTTGGTCCTTCCTCTCTCTGCATTACTCTGTTCTCGGTAGAAGTACTAACTTCAGAGGCGTCCTGGTTTTGTCTCCTACCGCTGTTGGGTACCACCTCAGGAACCTCTCTTGAGCACTGGCCACAACTCTGTCCCACCCTGTCTCCATCTTCCCCTGCCACATCCGGAGCATGAGGACCAGAGTGAGGGGGGCACGCGTCGTGGTGGGCAGGGAGCAAGGGATGCGTGTCTAAGTGAGGGCGAGGCGTGACGTGAAGGTGGGATGCCCGCTGCCAGGTCGCAGCCCAGACCTGCGGTGACTGCGTCAGTTTCACCCGGGGAGACCAGAGGCAGCGGGACAGGGGAACGGCGGGGTAGCCAAGCAACGCCGGACGCGCTGACGTCGCCGGGGCGGCAAACGTCCTCCGGGCCCGAGGCGGGCGGAGGCAGCTGTGGTTACGCGCCGGGCAGCTGACGCGCTCGCCGGGCGTCAGGCCGTGGCGTGAGCGGCCGGCTGGCGGGGGCGGGCTCTAGACCCCGCGCGGCGGCGGCGCAGCACCTACCTTCCCGG